GGACAGCATTTACTCTTTCTCTGGACCTCACAGCCTCCCCTGGCCCCTAACCTCCCATCCCAAAGTCTCTATCCTCTTCCTCTGGTTAGAGGAAGGGCGCGGTACAGAGCCTGGCCCACTGTCGCCTCAAACCCTGTCGTGGCAGATGGTGAACATGCACATGGAGAAGGTGGCCCGAAGGGAGATCGGCACCTTGGCCACGGTCCAGAGGCTGCCCCCTGGCCAGAAAGTCATTGCCCCCGACAGCCTCCCACCCCTCACGCCCTACTACAGGAGACCCCTCAACTTTGGCTGCCTGGATGACATTGGCCATGGGATCAAGGTAGGGAGAGGGGCCCTCCTCCTGCCCACAACCCACCGTCGTCTCCTTTTCAAGGCTCCTTTCACCCCAGGTCCCCAGTTCTCTTCCCCATCTACATCCCTGTGTGTCCCAACCTGCCGCCCTCATCTTTCCTGACTCCCTGGAAGCCATCACCCTAAGCAGACCCCTCCTCTCCAAGCCTCTCTCCTTGAAGGTCCTTCCTGACCCCCTCCCCCCTCCACAGCCAGCCTTGACCATGTCCTCGGGTGATCTGCTGAGGGTGCATCTGAGCAGCCCCTTCCGTGGGGGCTGGGTGCATGTGAAGGGGAAGAGGGGGAGGGGCGGTGTCAGGGTGTGCATGAGAATGGCTCCCCAGCCGCAGAAGGGCAACTTCCTCTGTCTGGAGGTTTGAGGTCACCGCACTGAGCGCTCACCCCAGAGCTGCTTGCTGTTGTGTGGGAACAGATGGGGGTGCAGCCACTCAAAGGGGGCCTGGTGAGGACAGGGGAGCAAGACACTGCCATTTCTTCTCCCTGAGAGGTGGGAGAGGACACTTCCCCAACCCCATTTCCTCAGTTCCCCCTTGCCAACTTTCCAGATTAGATTAAAGCTCCCCCGGGTCTAACTGATCCCTGGAAACCCTTCCTGTCGGGCAACATCCAGACCACACCCCCTCCTTCAGGCACCAGTAAGTTCTCATTCCCCAGCTTCTATTCTTTATGACTCCACTGGGGTCCCTCTTATCTTGTGCCCAGTGGAGGTTAGTGGAGGACAGCATTCCCCATGTGCCCCACGCTGGGGGCACCCCACCAGTTACAGATGCGCTCCCTGCCTGTGGGCTTGGCCTGGCCATTTGCGCATTTTGAAAGCTCTGGCCCTCTCTGTCCAGAGCTGGTTCTGCAGGCCCATCAAAATGGCAGGTGGGGAAAAAAAATAAATGGCAGGTGGGCTCTTTCTAAGTGTGATGGTCCTCTCCCCCCTCCCCCACCTCCTCAGCCCCGCGTTCGGGTTGGGGTCTATCAGAATTAGAGATCACCAAGCTGGCCATGGAGATGCTTTGGGCCCGAGGTGCGGCTGCTAGGCCCTGCAGAGGAAGTGGCCTTCAGACCGTGTCTGCTTCAGGTTTCCGCAGCGCCTGCGGCTGGGGGGACCAGAGGCTGCGGGGCCGGAGGGCAGCCAGAGGGGGAGGCGGTGGGGTGGGGTGGGGTGGGAGAGGGGGCTGGGGAGTGGAAGTGGGAACTTGCTGTCCCTGCTCTCTCCCTCCCAGTTCTCCGCCGCCCCTCCCTTGTTTCCTTTGTGGGACCACGGGGACTGGGGGGGGGGGGGGCATAAACGTCGCCCCCTGCTCCGCCGCAGGATCTGACCACGCAGCTGTCGCGGACCGGGACCCTCTCGCGAAAGAGCATCAAGGCGCCTGCCACGCCGGCCTCCGCCACCCTGGGGTGAGACCTCGCGATCCTGAAACTTTCCTCCCCCACTCTCAATGCAGAGAAGCCAAACTTCCTCCTCCCCGCACCTGACCCCTGCTGCCGAAGCCTTACTTCCCCCAACTGACAACACCCCGCGCCTTTTCTCCCCTCCCTCCTCAGGAGGCCACCCCGGATCCCTGAGCCGGTGCTGCTCCCCGTGGTGCCCGAGGGCAAACTCTCCGCCGCCTCCTCTGCCTCTTCCCTGGCCTCGGCAGGGTGAGCCCCAAGAGTCCAAGTTGGGGAGGTGTTGAGGGGGCCTCCTGCCAGTTGTCAGGGTGACTGCTAGGGTCGGGAGGACTCTGATCACAGGCCTGGGGCGCACGACTGTGGGGGCGGGGCCAGTGGGGGGGGGATGCTGAGTTAGGGAAGTGTCCCCCAACCTTGCCGAGCCCCGCTTTCTCTGGTCTTCAGCAGCGGCGAAGGCGTCGGTGGGGTCTCCACGACCAAGGGGCAGGCAGCACCCCCACCTCCACCACTCCCCAGCCCCCCGGCCCCCCCCCCTCCACCGGCCTCCGAGGTCTTCCTGCCGCCCCCTCTGCTGGAGGAAGTGTCCCTGCCCCTGCCGGGTAAGGAGCTCCGCCCTCTCCTGGCTCTATGGTGGGGTCTCTTCTCACCTCCCTACCCTCTCCCTCTCCCTCCTAACGGCCTGCCTCGGCCCGCCTCGGCCCGCCTCGTCCCAGGTAGGGGGTAACGGGAGAGGAAGGGGCCAAAGTGGGCTAACAATTTAGCGCCTGCTATCTGCCAGGTTCTGTGTTCAAGTTTCTCATCCATTTTCGCACTTGAACTTTAACAACCCTAAGAGGATCTTCACACACTGATTTAACAGCCGGAAGCAGAGGCTCGCAGGTTCAATTGACTTGCCAGAGGGTCACCCAGCTAAGTGGCAGTGCCTCACTAGCCCACATTGCTCAACATTTGTGTGTTTGCTGAGAAGTTCTAGAAGCATCATGGTGGAGGCCAGGATGGGCGGGGGCTGGAGAAAGATTACAGAAAATCGGTAGATGCCGGAGCGCCGACTGAACAGCAAAGTTTCTGGGGGGCCATTGGAGGGGGTCTCCTGTGCCACATCTGCAGGCTCTCCCTTTTCCCTCCCAGCACCAGAGTTGCCTCCGCCCCTGGATCTGCCCCCTCCTCCGCCCCCGGATCTAGATGAATTGGGGCTGCCACCTCTGCCCCCACCAGACTTCGGCCCTGAAGAGCCTAGTTGGGTTCCTGCTTCCTACCTGGAGAAAGGTACCTGACTCCTGGGACTAGGGATGCCCCCCACCCCCGCTTCTACTCTAGAATCTGCAAAGATATGAACCTGTTACACACACACCTATTTTCTGATGAACTGACCAAATATTCATCCAGGAGTGGTGAATCAAGCTGGAAAGACAGGCAGCTGACCTGGCAGAGTATTACTAAACTGGGGAGGGGGTCCCAAGAGCTTTGGAGCCCCACTCCCTGCAGCCGGGATTCCCCTTAGATGTTTCCTGGCATCCCCATGGTAGGGTGGGAGGCACGTCTCATGGAAACCCTTCCTCCCATCCCACAGTGGTGACACTGTACCCCTACACCCGCCAGAAGGACAACGAGCTCTCCTTCACCGAGGGGACCATCATCTGCATCACGCGCCGCTACTCAGATGGCTGGTGTGAGGGCGTCAGCTCAGAGGGGACTGGATTCTTCCCAGGGAACTACGTGGAGCCCAGCTGCTGACAGCCTGCGGCTCTCTGAGCTCCTGACCCAGGCTCAGCCCTCATCGAGCCCCTGGAGCTCCAGTACAAAGCCAGTTCCACGGTCAAGGCTGGACTAGGCATGCCCACCTCTTGGCCTGGAAGCTGGGTCTGTCCCTTCCCCTCATTTTGGTGGGAAGGGGGCTCTGAGGAGAGGATGTACCCAAAGGCCTGCTGTGGACGGGAAAGAACTGGAGGCCAAAGAGTTTGGTGATCTTGTCCACAGAGGATCTCTCCCCCCGCCCCAGTCCACGCAGGATGGGGTCTCCAGCTACAAATGTCCACTTCGAATAAAACTCTGATGACCTCCTTGGTGATTGCCCTGGAGGGCTAGGGGGCCAGAGAGAGAGAGTGAAAGGCTCCTGCTAATTATTGACCCCCTCTGCTCTGCCCAGAGCAGCTGTCTCTCCCCATCATTTTGGTCGTAAGTGCCCTGCACTAGACCCCTGACGCTGGGCAACGACTGCAACCTGTTCTTTTGCTTGTTGCTTGCTTTCTGTGTCCCAGACAGGGGGACCAACTCCCCCATTTATGTGGGGCTCTCTCAGGCCAGGGATCGCCTCACCCTCACCCTTCAGACATTGGCGGCGCGAGAGATCTCAGTCAACTCTTCCCCCTTCACCTTCTTTATAGCTTGAGAACACCAAAGAGGGAGGAGGGGCTTGACTTTCGCTGGCTCGGCTTTAAAACATCATGGCTTTCTGTTCCATACGGGAGGACGGAGGCGCAGACGGCCCAGCCCGCGGGGCGACTTTGGTAAAGTCCCTGGTCTCTTGCTGCATAGAAGAGGCTGGGGTGAGGGGAGACACCGTCGCGCGCTGCGAGGTCCCAGGCTGGACGGACCCGAGTCGGACAGTGTGCTACCTCGTTCCACCACCAGGAGGCGACTGTTCCCTCTGGCTTCCCCCCACCCCTTTGGGGATGCTGGTGGGGGTGGGAGAAGGGGATTGTGCGCGGGGAGGGAGGCCAGAAGAAAAACGGTGTCGTGTGGAGACGCGCTAGGTGAAGCAAGATCTAGGCCTGAGGTCGTGGGTGCAGAGCTTCATCTCTCTCTGCTGGGATTCCGGCGCGACGGGGAGGCTTTGGGGTCGCGAGTTCCCTTAGCAGAAGAAAGGGAGATGGGAAGGTTCCGCAGTTCAAGGGAGCAGTGAAAGCCGTGGGAACCACTTCCTCTCAGTTCCGAGGACAAGGATCTTGGAAACACCGCTGCCTTCCCAGGGATGTGCACCAACCACCTCGGTGGGGCCGGGACTACAGAATTTAACGTTGCAGTGAAACGGGGACGGGGGTTGGGGTGGGGCAGAGAGGCAGCCGATTGGGGTTAACTGCATAAACAGGGACGGCTCCGAACTCCCTCTCCCAGCCCCCACGTGGACGAGCCCGGGATTCCCGGAATTTTCAGAGGGACATACCGAAGCGAGAGCGAGGGAAAGGGAGTAATAAAACTAGGTTTGTGTTTCCCGCGGTCCCCCATCCCCACCCCGCCCGGGCGCCCCCTGCAGGCCGCCGTCCTCAGCACGTCTTCAGCACCTGTTGCAGATGGAGGCGCACGTCGGTGGCCGTTTCCCAGGGCACCACGCTGGCGCGGAAGGAGCTGGGCTCGGCCTTCTGCGCCTCCTGGATAAGGCGGTGCATGGGGTAGCCGCGGCGCGGGAAGGCCACGTCGCCGCCCGCCAGCAGCCCCATGGGGCAGAAGTCGTTGGCGCCGTCGCCCACGTAGAAAAGGCGCTCGAAGTGCACGCCGTCGTGGGCCCGCTCGCGCAGGTAGTCGCTGAGCACCTTGTGCTTGCACATGTTGGCGGGGCAGCGCGCGCAGCTGTGCGTGTGGAAGGGCCGCAGCGCCAGCAGCCCCCGCGCGTCGGGCCCCGACGGGTTGCTGAGGATGCGACGGAACAGGCCATGGTGTCCCGCGGCGCGCAGCGCGCTCTCCACGCCGAAGGTGTTGGCATCCGAGATGAGGATCACCTCGAAGCAAGAGCCTTGCTTGGCCACAAACTGCAGCAGGTCGCTCATGCCCGGCGACAGGGGGATGGCCTCGTAGATGGCGCGCAGGTCCCGCGGTCGCACGCCCTGCTCGCCCAGGTACTGGAAGACGCGCTGCATGTACTCGTTGTAGAAGCCCTCGCGGTAGGTGGCCCGCAGGCTGTCGGGGAGTCGCTGGCCCGGCGCGGCGCGCACGATGGAGTCGTCGCTGTTTTCATCCACGATGGTCTCGTCGAAGTCGAAGGTCAGGAGGAAGCGCGGCGCACCCTGCGCGGCCATCCCGCCGTCCTGGGAGCAGGGGGGAGAGGAGCAGGAGGAGGAGGAGGAGGGAGCAAGCGAGAGGGGGCGCGGCGCGAGCCGGCCCGGGAGAGGCTGGTTAGCGGGCCACGGCCAGAGGCGCTGGCACATCCAAGACCTGAGGAGGACCCAAGGCAGGTTAAGGTAGGCAGAGGACCCCACGCCGCCGCCCCCGCCCCAGCCTTCCCTGCCCACCCCCATGTTCGCACCTCTCAGTGAACTGTGCTGGGGTTTATCCCCGGAAGACCGCCCTCTTCCTGAACCCAGAAGGGCTTCCTTGGCACCTATTTCTGCTAACTCCTCTGTGGGCCACTGGGGCTTAACGGGGTCAGCTTAACAGAGGGGAGGAGCAGCTTCCAAGGGGTCACCCCTTTAGGGAGGTTTCTGGATCAGGCCGTTCTGGAGACTTCCAGTGACCCCCATTCTGGTTTGGAGCCCTCTCCACCCCCTTCTTCCTTAACATATGTAGGCAGGGGAAACCAGGCATTCACCCAGATGAAGCAGCCTCCTCATTCCCTTTTTGGGCCATGCCCAGCTGATTGGACTGTGGACAATAAGGAGCCAGGTTCCAGGGAACACTCGTTGGTGTGAATGCCAGGTCTTTGGGCCTGGATCATGGCTAAGGGCTGGGCCTGGAGAGTTATGCGTCTGGACCTCTGCACTGGCCAGAGAACTGGGTTTTAGCTCTTGGAATAACCAGGTCACTGGGTTGACCCAGGAAGGCTCTCTGGGAGCTGCTTCCAGCCAGATGGCACTGGGCAAGGGTCCCAGGATGGGACATGGCTTCTCCAGGGTGTTTTAGGGCCCTGTGCGGACAGCTCATCACTAATCACTTGCCAGTTCCCTGGGAGGAACACGTCAGCGGGTGGGGTTTCTGCCAGAGTCCGAAGGAAGCGGGCAGCAGAAGCAGTGGGACTTGGGGAGATAGAAGCTTCCCGCGCCAGGCCGCGACATACCTGGGAGACAGGTGAGGGAGAGGAGAGAGAGCAGCGTGGCTGAAAAGGCAGAGCAGGAGGAAGCAAAGGGTGGGTACAGGGCGGGGAAAGAGAAGGCTAGGAGAAGGTCATGCCAGGGGAGCCTGGAGACAGCACAGTGGGGATGCAGGGCTCCAGGAAGCAGAGACCTCGGGCCACAGTCCCACCTACAGAGGACGTGGGAGAGGATGGAGTCCAAGAATGCAAGTGCGAGGCACAAAGGCAAGAGAGTGGAGGCCCCTTTTGCTTGGCAGAGGGGCAGAGAGCCAATCACGGACAGTTCCAGAATACCCACCACACTACCTTTCACCCTCCCGGCCTCCCACCTCAGTCAGTCCAGACGGAACCACTCCTCCTCCTGGCTTCTTCCTAACTTGCTCTCCGATACTCCTGTGAGGTTTGTGGCCTGGCCCAGCTTGTGAAATGAAGTCCAAGCTCCCAGTGTCAGAGCTGGGGTGTGGACCTAGCTCTCTGCCTCCTTAATAGCACTGTCCCTTCAAGCTCATCCCTAAGAGTCACGCTCTGGTCTCATGGACATCCATCTGGGAGTCTCAGCTGCTCAGGATCCCTGGAGTTGAGGTTGTAAAAGCATCAGGACCCCACACCTGGGATGGAAGCTTCCAGAGATTAGTGGAGGCCCAGTAGAGATGAGGGTAGGCCTAAAAGGGGCTGGAGAGGGCTCCTTCCACCCCGTGATGGGAAGGCGGTTGAGGCCTTAGCCTCAGAGACCCCTGGAAGTACCCACTTACCCTAGACAGGCATCGGAGACCAGTGACTGGAAAACACCCACTCATTGTCACTGCATCACCGTGGGCACCAACTGCAGAAGACTCCGTTGGCCTCCAGCCGTCGTCCAGAGCTCCTGACAACCACACAAGGTCTGTTGGAGGCCTCCAGCAGCTAGCCTTGTGTCCATCACTAATGCCCACCTGATTCTGTCTCCTCAGCTGAGCCCCCGGAGCCACTCCCAGGGGCTAAATAAAAACCCCTCAGAGAAGCTCTGGGCTCACAGAGGGCAAAACCCTTGCGAGGTATCCCCCTACCAATCCCCTGTGTCATTTGAGAGGTTATAGTAACTGGAGACCCAGTGAGGTCAGCCGACTTACTCAAAGGTAAGTGGCAAAGACAGATCTCAAAACTGGAACTTAGGATCTGAGACCAGTGCTTTTTCTCTTTTTCTCTTTTTCCTGGCCCCTTTCCTGTGTCAGGGTTTACATGTCACCAGCACACATGTTCTCCCACTGCTTGTCACAGTCGCATGAATTCAGCAGATAAGGAGGGCCCAGAGAGGTTAAGGAGGCTGTACAGTGTCCCTGGGGAGACCTGGTTCATGAGCACCTGGCCACAGCCTTGGATGCTCTCTGCCCTTAAAGGGACAAGGGCAAATGTCGGGCTTACTGTACCACAGCTGGGGGCCGGGATCCCTGAACATCCCAGACGATCTGGGACTGGCCTTCCTGGTGATTTCAGAGACCAGCAATCGGCCAGAAGTCAGTTTGAAATTTCTGCGGGGCTTTGCTATGTGGCTTTGGGGACAGGGATTGCCTTCGTGGGGGTTTCACCCACTCAGCTACAGAGGGCACCACCTACAGCTCCCAGGGCCTCCCCATGCCCCATCCCCGGCCCTCACCTTGGGGTTGAATGAGAGACTAGAAGCATCTGGGACAGATCTGGAAAGATACTGAGAACCAGGAGACTAGATGGGGAATCGAGCAAAGTCCTGGCTGGTTGCTGCCCTCTGGTGGTCATAGCAGATGACACTGGAAACCCCTGACTTTGTCAAGGTGACACTCTTCCCAGACCATCCCAGACCCTCAAGGAGCAGTTGTGGGGCCAGGAGATAGAGATTGGGACCTCCCAGCAACAGGGCACAGGTGAGAGGGCGGGCCTCCGTCATCTTGGAGCTACCACGCCCTAACCACAGGTGTGTGGAGCCCTTTTGATATGGATGGAAGTGGGTCTCTGGCTCTTCCTGGAAGAACTTTTCATCTAGAATTGGGAAGGGCAGCCAAAGCTGAATGGGGAGAGGGGACAGAAAAAGGTGGGGGCTAGGGGAGAGGTCAAGGAGACGATGGGTGAGAAAGCATGGGGACACTGGAATGGCATGTTTTGGAGGATGGGAAGGCTCTTCCCAGGCCCTATCTGGAGGGAGTTCCAAACTCCCAGGATCCTGCCTGATAGCCCCTGTCTGCTCCTAGGCCCAGCGAATTTGAGGGGAAAGGCCAGCGGATGCCACTTCTGTGATAAAAGCAAGCAGCCCCTCGGCACACACAGACTAGAGCAGGGCTCCGGGAAAAGGGAGTGGGAGACAGAAAGATACACAGGCTCTTCAAGCAGCCACCCAGAGACCAACTTTCATCCCACAGAAAAGGGCCTCCTGGTTTTGCCCTTGTTTCTTTTTTTCTTTTCTTTTCTAAAAATTTGGTGGAATCGTCTACTGACTTTCAATCATATCCCAAACTTCTCAATCATTAGAGCAAAAGACATAATTATGTTTTTTTTTTTCATCTAATAATACTATTGAGGGAAATCGGTTCAACATTTGTTTTTTAGTGAGTTGCCCTTGTTTCTTTTAGGCCCCAGAGCAGAAAGCCTGGCATCCTGAGTTTCTTCCCCCAGAAAGAGAAGGCTGTGCTGCTACCCCGCCCTTACCCCAGAGTAATCAGTGGCCCCCCCAGGCCCCACCGGCATCTGGGACTCATGACATTCAGTAAGTTTACTCACCTCTGGCAGCTTTGTCCTAAGTGACCAAATTCTTTTGTGGTCACCAAAAGAGTCCCTCAGAGAAAAGGGGGACAGGATGTCTGAGCTTCTCTAGATGGCTAGAGCATAGAGAGGAGAGAGGAGTTTCTCTGGGGCCGCAGGGAGTCCATATTCTAGTCCCACTTAAAAGCAGTGCTTGCCTCCCTGATGCCACGTCAGATCACTGGATTCCTCCTTGTTTCCTCCTGCCTTTGACAAAAATGCTTTAGATGACATTTGTGGGAATGCGGTTGGGGGAGGGAAAAGCGGTTTGAAAGTCCTCCTCCCCTCCCCCGCCCCCATGAGGTGATGGGGAGCCCACAGGACAGTTCCGGGACAGTTTACCCCAGGAAACATGGAGGGTAAGGATTGAGGTGGGGAGGGAGGGCCCTGCAGATACCATAGTTACAAGCCCCTGCCCAAGACCAGATCTTCTCTATCAATCACTAGGAACTGGATCCCACAACTAAACTGAAGTTTTCTCCATCTCCAAGACTGTATTCCCAGCTTCACCATGGTCTCTTCCTTCTAACCACCACCAGCAGCAAATAGGAAAAGTGGAGGCCCAGAGAGGTCAAGCTAACATCCCTGGAGGTCACAGAACATCAGTTGCAGAATTAGAACTTAGGAGTCCCTGGTGCCCCTTGGTGGAGTTGCAGCCAGAGCTCCCCCTCTTGTCCTGGAAACCCCCTTGGGCTGTGAATAAGCTGGCCCTGAGGACCTGAAGCCCTGGTGTCAGTGAAGAAGCTGTGACCAGGAGTCCCCTCTGGGCCCGCCCTGCCTGGGTGGACAAGCTGGAAGGGGATCCTCCGTGGACAGGGAGGTGGCAGCTGCCGGTGGATTGGGGGGGAGAGATATTTTTAGAGGTGGCTGGAAGCAGGCATCCTGGCACACCCCCAGCTGGCGGGTGCTTCGCTCCAATGCGGGGCAGTGGGGGGGGGGGGGGGCGGAGCTGGGGGAGCCCAGGGGACTGGTGGATGGCGGGGAGCAAGGGGGCACAGATTCCTTCGCTTTGCCTGAGTCAGGGACAGAGGGATATCCCGGCACCTCGTTCCTGGGGTAGGAGGAAGGCTCATTTCTCCGCTCCAGGGACTCCCCCACTGACACACGTGAAGGAGCGCCCTCAAACTCCACACAGCCCCCACCCCACACTGGGACCCCAGCCCTCCCCTACCTCGGGGAGCCCAGGACTCACGTGGGGAGCGGCAGCGGCAGAGGTCTGTCCCGGCTTAGTTTGGAGTGTAAAGTGAGGAGAGGGGCTAGCTGAGGTATTTGGGCGCAGGATGGGGCAAGGGGTGCTTACGGGAATTGGAGGGGACGCGGTGTCTTATCCACCCCCGGATTTCTGGGCTCCGGCTCACGAGTCCCTCCAGTTCCGAGGGGCCGTGGATGATGTGCGTCTGGGCGGTCCCCTCCACCTGCCCCCCATCCCCCCGGGCCGCCGCCGCGTCCCCTTTAAATGCCCGGGAGCCGGAGCCCGAGCCGCGGCCGGTGCTGCGGCTGCCGCAGCACCCGGGCCCACCGCAGTCCCCCCACGTCACAAGCGACTGTCCAATCACAGCGGCGCCGGCTCACATCAAAGGGGCGGGCCGCCTGCGGGACACGCCTCCAGGCCGCCCCGCAGGCTACCCGAGCTCTAGCGAAGGTGGGGTTGCGCGCAGGGAGAGAGGGGAGGAGAGGGGAGATGGAGCGCATCCCTCCGGAGGAGCGTGGGTGGGGGGCACCCTTGCTGGAGCGGCTGCGGGGCTCTGCGTGAGTCCCCGCCCACACACCCAGAAGTGTCAGGGCTGTGCCTTCAGGGCGCCGAGCCCTGAAATTTGCAGAAATGCACTCCTACCGCCAGCCCCCATTCCCTTTTTCGCTCCTAAGCCAAGCGGTAGGCACCGTTGGACCCAGACCAGGGAAAGCAGTGCCTCCCCTCACGTACGCCTGGCTCGGCCCTCCGCGCGGAGTCGCGGCACCTCGCCTCTTGGGACCCTTCCTCGGGTTACAGGGGATCGAAGGGGAAGGGGCCCTTCCACACCCCACCCCGTAAACACTGATTTAAGGACCCAACTGTTTGCCCTTTGCAAGTGGTGTTGTAAATAAAAAACCCACTTTCTCTCCTGCTTCGTAAGAGTCAGTGCCTAGCCACACTCCCCTGCGTCCCCCCTTCCCCCAACCCAGTCTCCGCCCCCCCCCCCCGCCCCGCCCAGCTCCGTCCGCCCGGCAGCCGGATAGTTGAGGAGAAGCTTCTGTTTCTACAGTAGAGACCCGAAACTTATATATACTGAGAGCGTACTATGAACAGGGCACTCTACGAGGTTGCTACACTTGCCGTTGAATATTCACAACCGGAGAAATTATTTGCCTGAGTTCAAACATAGGCGCGCCTGGCCCTCGGGGTCACAAAGGAGCTGTGCGGGTGCAGAACGCAGGCGCCCCCAGGCCTGGGTCTGAATCTCCCCCTGCTCCACTCCTCCAGGAGAGCCGGCGTGGGAAGGCCCTGTGTGATCTGGCAGCCGGTGGCGCTGGAAACTAGCGATGGAACAAGTCCATAAGGAATTACCCTGTGCGGGGCACTAGTGTGGACAGAACAAGGGTGTGCTGCGTTTCTGCATGTACAAAGGAGAACGAAGGCCTTGAAGCTGCTTAAAAACCTTTGACCTTAACTTCCAGCGCCCCAGCTCCTTCACTGGCTTGCTGCTCATGTCCCTGTCAACACTGCCCACCCTCTCTTCTGGCATTGCAGCACCCCTGATGTTTTTCAGGGACTTCCCTCCTCAGGAACGCACCTGCCCCTGCCGCACTTGCTGGGGGAGTCCGGCCTCTGTTGAGGTCTTGAAGCTCCTTTGATTATACTGATACCCCGTGTGCCACCAGAGCAGGTGGGAAATGCTGTTGGTATATTTCCGTGGGTCAGCTCACGGAATCCTCACCACTCTGTGAGATGGTGCATGGCTCCTTTTGCTGATGGGAAATCAAGGCACGAAGAAGGGAGCTTGGCCAGGGTCATCCAGCAGGTGAATGGTAGAGCTGGGCTTCCAGCCTGGTTAGCTTTTTTTTTTTTTTTTTTTTTTAATTTGTCAGAGATAGAGCACCTGCACAAGCAGGGGGAGTGGTAGGCAGAGGGAGAAGCAGGCTTCCCACTGAGCAGGGAGCCCAAAGAGGGACTTGATCTTTGGGATCATAACCTGAGACATGATCATGACACCCAGGTGTCCCCCAGCCTGGTCGCCTTAACCTTTACCCCACACGGGTCCCCTTCTTCAGCGTCTGCCACCCCTTCTCTCCTGTCACCAACAGGAGGGCAGAGACCATGCTTGCCTTATGCGTTAGTGTCCTGCTGCACACAGTGGGCTTTGGATGTTTGTTATCGAATGAAACATGTCTTCTGCTGTGTTGGGCTGGACCTATCACTCCGTTTGTGTCTCCTCATTTCATCTTCTCACTAACTGGTCGCTCCAGGATTATCCCCCTTTTCCAGCAGGGAAACTGAGGCTCAGAGAGATCAAGTGACCTGCCCAGAGTCCCATGCCCCCAAGGCGGCACCAGATTCAGATTCTGACCCTGATGATTAGATTAACATCCTTTCAGCTGATTCCAAAATCACCACAGGGGCTGAGGGTACGGCAGGCGGGTAACTTTCTGTTGTGGCCAAAGCCAGTCCTTACTGGCCACCTCTGCCTTCCAGCCCTGGGGGTATTAGAGCCCCAGGAGCTCTCCGCAAGGTGCATCTGTGGAATAAATCTATAAACTCCCAGTTCCCTCTGCGCTCAAGGTTTCTGGACACAATCCTGTACCTTAAACCCACGCCTCTCATTGTGTCGAGCACAGCTGGGCAGTGGGACAAGTTGGAATGATCAGCTGTGTGTCTAAAGAGGCGGACAGAAAGGTAGGGAATCCTACCTCCCACCTCACCCCCTCCCCGTGCCCAGCAGGGTGAGGCTCTGCCCAGCATCAGCTGCAGAGCTTCCTCCCTTTCCTGCAGGGTTCACCTGAGAACTCCCGTCAGTCAGTCTGGCCCAGAGCTTGCGGGGACGGGGGTCATCTGAGGCGACAGAGACAGGAGTGTCAGGGAACGCCTGATTCAGGTGGCCAGGGATGGGGCTCTCCAGTTGGCCTTGACAAAGAGGGTGTGACTCTCTCCTAAGGTTTTGGCAATAGAGCCTGGGAGGCCAGGAATCAGGATGGGGGACTCTGGCTCTCCGACAGGCCTGGTAGAGGGAGAGGCAGTGGCGGAAGGGGAGGGGCACAGGGTCTGGTTCCTCCCAACTCGGCATCTTGGGGAGGGAGAGAGGACTTCAGTGCCCGGAGCATCATCCCTATAGCAGCCCTGGCCAGTGGATTTTAGTATTCTCATTTTTACATATAAGAAAGCAGAAGGTTGAGGACATTAAGAAAGTGCCTTGCCCAAGGCCACTGTTTAGCAAGTGGCGGTCATCAGCTCCACTGTGGAGGCCTGCACTTCTCTGTCTGGAGGAGGCTGAGGGCCTTCAGTGACCTGGCGACCTGGGCAGGTGGGCTCAGCGCCAGAGCCACCAGGAGGGCCCCGTGATAGTCTGACTCTAATCCCACTTGCTGGGATAGTTCCTCTCCTTTGGCTTCTAAGGCACCCTCCTTCTATGTAACAGCTTCCTGTGACTTGAAATCCGTCATGCCATTTCCTCCGTTTTTTTTGCAAATGTCCCATTAAAGATGACAAGGTGAATTTGGTCTCTGCCTGCCTCGTGACTGTCCCTGGTTACTTCTTGCATCCCTCTCCCACTCACTGTGTAATAGACTTCTTTCAGACTTTCAAATGTGCTACCACCGGCCCTTTGCACTCGCCATGGGCTCTTTCCAGAGTACTTCCCACTGCATCCATCCCACTGAGTTCAGGGCTCAGCTCATCTGTCACTTCTAAAAGGAAACTTGTCCTGCCCAGGCACCCTCCCTCTCTTAATACACACCTCCACAGCACCCTGGGCTCTTCCTGGATGATTGATTAAAATCTTTTTCCCTCAGACTATCAGCTCCACGATGATGGGGACCAGAGCGGGTTTGCTCCCATGATGTCCCCGGCACCTGGCGCAGGCCCTGGTCTGGAGTAGCTGCTCAAAAACATTTGTTGCCTGAATGTTTATAAGACTCAGTCTCAGCTACTTAGGTGGGGGGTGGCCTTAGGCTGGGATTGACCCCATACAAGCTACCTCCCTTAACCTGGGCCATCTGACTGGAGATATGCTAAACGAAGGAAGGGCTGGCAGCTCAGCTTCTCCTGAGCAACCCGCCCCAAGGAGGAACCTTCCCATCCCCCAGGCAGTTCTGTGCTGTTGGGAGCTAGAGAAAATGCACCCTTAGAATAAGAGTCCAACCAAAGGGAGAGTCCCTGGTATGTTCAGTAGGCTTTGTAATTTACAAAACACTGTCCGTAATTCACATTATTTTCCTGATGAGGAAGGTGAAGCAGAGAGAGGTCAGGGGACAAGTGCAAGGTGGCTAAGGCAACGCTCGAATGCAGGTCTTTCGAAACCAGCCAGTTTTTCTGAGGGCGTTGTGTTGCACCAGTGGGGAGAAGATGCACTGCCCACCAGCAAAGCTGCCAAGAGCCTGGGGCTTTTTTTCTTTTTTATTCGTCCATCCATGTAGGCACACATGCACTCATTTCTTCAGGAGGCGCAGGCTCCGGTCTTGCCTCCGCGGGGGCCCCAGTCGAGCGTTCGGGAACAGTGGTCCCCCTGTGAACGGCCTGAGCTTGCTGGAGATACTTTTTTGTGTTTACATATAAATGTGCATTTTTCATGTCAACTTTCAAAAGGTTCTCTGACACCACTTATCCTTCCCTCCCCCCTCTGCGAAATGTTTAAGAACCACTGGTGTCATACAGGCTAACTCCATATAAATGGACAGCAGTCCGCGGGCTCATCAGCCTGTTCTGCCTGTTCGGGTGACTGAGGCCCCAGCACGTGACCATCTCTGGGTCCCAAGAGATGAACCTGGTGTCTGGACCACATGAGTCATCCACTGGCCCCGCCGACCTGGGACAGAGGCTCTCAGCCATGGCTCTGGGGAGAGAACCCCACGGAAACACACACACATGCGCACACACACGTACCCAACATCCCCAGCTCTACAACTCCTGACTCCAGGAAGCTACTTTGGTTTTGGTTCTTTCCCTCCAATATGAGTAACACACAACACTGCCCACAGGGGTGACATTTGCTGAGGGCTTGAGTGTGTCAGACTCTGTGATGCCTCCCTCCTCGCCCCCCCGCTTTTTAAAAAATTTGTATTTAAATTCTAGCTGGTTAACATCCTCCTAGTCTTTTTATTTTTTATTTTTTTTACAGGTTTTTATTTATTTGACAGACAGATCACAAGTAGGCAGAGAGGCAGGCAGAGAGGCAGGCAGAGAGAGAGAGGAGGAGGAGGCAGGCTCCCTGCTGAGCAGAGAGCCCCATGTGAGGCTCAATCCCAGGACCCTGAGATC